GAAGCGATTTTTAAACATGATTCATAATAACATAATCATTTATTTTCTCAATAAATCCACCACGATTGTCTCGCCCCTTCCGCTGCCAAGAACATGCCATTCACTCATTCTGTCTACCTGCGTGTAGCAAATAAAACATACTACACGCTCAGCGATGAAGCTGAGTAAGCATATCTAAAGCGTCGAACATCCAAATAAATTGAATCTCAATTCATAATCAACCATTTGATATCATGCACACAATATATGATTCAAACATTCATGATATTCTCAATATTTTATTCCAAGTCATTTGATATTCAATATCTCAACCATGCTCTTAAATTATTCTTAATCTAAGGCCAAATCATTTTATAACAAGCTCTTAGCTATTCCTAGTCTAAGGCAACATTTCTAACCAGGCCGTTAAACTATAAATAGTTTAATGCAGAACACAAGAATCGATAATCCACCCTATGAGTCATGTGGATTACGTACCAACCGAACAATGATTTGTCGGGTGGGTGATATCCGGTCTGGATCCCGTACGTACGTTTTAACCCCGAAATATGAATTGGTCAAGGAGGTATATCTTAGAGTTCTTCTAGATATCCTTAATAATCATCATCGCAAAAGAAAAATGAATCCACGCCCCAAGGAGCGGGAAAGGAAGAAACCTCTTCTAGCCAAACCCTACCAACCAAGCAAGCTCAGCTAAACACTATCCCTTTTCCTACTAGGGTGAAAAAGAACAAAGATGAAAAGGCTTTCCAAGAGTTTCTCGATGTCATTGGCCAAGTTGAGGTCAAAATTCCTTTGGTAGATGTGTTAACTGAAATGCCCAAATATGGTAAGTTCTTAAAGGACCTCGTAACTAAGAAGAGGGACTGGGAGGAATTCCCAGTTGTCAGCTTAAATGCTGAATGCTCTGCTATGTTACTTGAGGAATTCCCAGTTGTCAGCTTAAATGCTGAATGCTCTGCTATGTTACTTGATAGTCATTTTCATGCTTGAAAATGAAAAGAACCTCAAAGTTACCAAGCCGGCGAAGTTTGAATTCCCTGAAGCCACCTTTGATCAGAAAGTCTTCGAGAGTTGAGAGTGAAAGACGAGCACTGCTACGGCCAATGAGAGTTCTATTGAACTTACCGGCCAGTACATCTTCCTCAGCCGTAGAGAAGACTATGGAGGGTGCTCCCTTGTAGAAACCATTCAACTGACCTGGATTATCTGTCAAGTCCCCTTTTAAGAGATCTACAAAGAGGGTTTTACAGTTAGGAGGATGATGATAGGAGCTGAGGTTCCCGGAGGGGTTTCCGGTCGCCGGAAAAGAGGAGAGAGAAACTCTGGCCATCATTTTCTATATATATATATATATATATATATTAACCCGAAAATACCACCAAAATCAGTGGGGTTTTACATCGAATCCAAGAAAATAAAAGATAGGCAAAACTTACACAACATCATGTGAGTGTTGTTGCAATTGATTTCCCCCCAAGCGCAAATATCTGAATTCCCGAATTAACCAGGCTCTCATCTCTGATCATCCATCCCTAGTTACGGTATTTCCAATTCCACAAATTCATGTTGCTCTTAATGTTATAGATTATATTGTTGGTATTCAGATCTTCGTTACCGAATGAAATTGCAGAATATTGCTTCCAAATACACCAAGCAATAACTCCTGGCATCACCAATTTCATGTTCCCACAAAGTGTATGGGTTTCTGATCTGAGGTGCCATTCTAAAATGTGTTGCTTGATTGTTGTAGCAGGTCTGATTCTAGGTCCCTCTATTATATCTGCTATTTCATCCCAAATATATATTATCTTACCACATTGAAGAATGCAGTGGTCTACTGTGGCTTCATTCTTTTTGCAAAAGGGGCACTGAGAGGGCAGGCTATAGCTCATTCTAGAGAGAACATCAGGGAAAGGTAATATGTCATTATTCAGCTTCCATAGAAACAATTTGACTCTTGGGATTTACAAGTTATTCCAACAGAACTTGTCAGAAATTGCCATGTTATTATGCGGTCTACAGCTTTCATAAGCATGCTTTAACTTAATCTTCACCACCTCATCATCCTCTAGTAGCATATCTCCCACAGATTCCCCCCTTATCATGTGAATTCTGCATATTCTTTTCCTGACTGGTGAGTCTGTCATTTTTTCATCAAAGTTATTAGCCCCGTATTTATTTCTCATGAAAGAGGCCCAGTTGGAATCTGAGTATCTATATTTCCACCATAATTTAATGGAATAAGCTTCATGAAGATCCTCCAAATCTCTGATTCCCAGCCCCCCTTCTGAGGTAGGTTTGCTGATGTCTTTCCACCCTTTCAAATAATATTTATGCTTCCCATCTCTTTGTCCCCATAAGAAGTTTCTCATCATCCTCTGTAGAGAGTTAATAATAGAAGTAGGGAGAGAGTGAACAGCTTGAATATGTAGAGGGATGGAAGATAAAACATGTTTTATCAAAATAAGCCTCCCCATAGGATTCAGGGCCTTGCTATACCAAGTGTCAATGTATTTTTGAAAGTGTCTCATCAAATCACCACATTCAGCTTTTCTGAGTATACCCTTACAAATAGGAGCACCTAGGTATTTGAAAGGTATCTTGCTACATCTCATTCCTAAAAGTTGCTCCAAAGTATAGATCCTGCTTTGTTTAATACTTTTTCCACAATAGAATTTGCTTTTCCCAAGGTTTATCTCTTGACCTGATGCATTCATATAACTCTTTAGAAGAGTATTGACCTTCAGCAGATTCCTTGTATCACCATTGCAAAAAATTATGATGTCATCTGCATAAGCCAAGTGACTTATAAGATAGTCCCTCCCTGTATTGTAGTTGACGATCTTGGATGAGGCCATATTTTGTTTAAGCATCCTGGAAAGTCCTTCCCCTGCTATAATGAAAAGCAATGGAGATAGAGGATCCCCCTGTTTCACCCCCCTTTTCATAGTGAAAAAACCCTGAGGACTCCCATTGACCATAACAGAGATGAATGTGCTTCTCAAATTGGCTAAGAGAAGTTTTTGATTGTGATCACTGAAACCTAGTTTATCCAACACGCCTAGAATGTANTAACTCTTGGGGACTGGAACTCCAACAAAAAACTCATGTGTTGCACTTACTACATCATCTTTGATTATATGCCAGCAAGCCCTGAAGAAGGAGTGTTGAGTCACAAAATATCATATTTTATTCTCTCATTTCATAGTATTTTAAAGATGTTTTATATGCATTTCATACCAAAATAAACATATTTTGTTATATTTAGCATTTTAGGCTACTGTTTACATTTTATACATAAAATGCATGATTTTGAGCATATTTATATTTGACAATTATTTTGGAATATTATTTTCATTGGCATGAAATTTGTAGATAATACATGGGAGTCCAAAAAGTCAAAGAAGATATTGAAGTTGAATTTTTGGAGCTTAAAAGTTGGCCCAATCCAAATTTGGCCCAAAGCTATTCCATCTACCAAATAAATTATAAGAGGAAGAAGAGCAAATAAAAGAAGAAAAAAAAGAGAAATCTTCCGTGAATGAGAAACGCAGGAGAGAAGAGGCGCAGTGTCCTTCCCCAAATCCAACGCAAATTCCAAGAATCCTACTCCAAATTGAAGATTCCAAACTCCACGATTATAAAAGGAGACAAAAGCCACAAGAAAATCTTCTTCTTCAACCCCAAATCCAGAGGGAGATCAGATAACCGAGAGAGAGGAACATAGCAGCGGCAAGGATTTCCACCGCCGACCTAGGGTTCCGACCCTAGGTTCGGTGATGGTGGCGACGGCGACACAAGGCACGGCAGCTATTGAAGAAGGCAGTGGCTTAAGTCTGGTGTCTCTTCTCTGGCGGCAAAGTGACGAAGAACAAAGAAGCAGAACAGGGGAGCATTTTGTACTTTACTCCTTTTACTCCGTATTTGATTATACTTGGTTATATTACTAGGCTATCATATTTGTTCAATTCCCATTGTTGAATATGATTTCCTATACTAAATATTTTTTTTCTATTTATTTTCAATTCTTGTTTTTATGTTGAATGTTTAAGTTATATTATCGGTGATGAATTGTTTGTGTGTTGATGTTGAATTGTCCAAATTGCGATTTGTTAATTTTGTCTCTCAAATTATAAAACCTTCTTAGGCTAGATTGTTTGACAAAAAGATTGAATCTTTGTTTGTTGAATTAATTTGACTTTGAAGAGATTTTAGCTCTATGCTACTGTTAAATCTAAACTCAAAAAGGTGTTCTGAGAACTATTATTCACCAGATTTTACTTAAACTGGGCCAAATTAGGAACGCGCGCCTAATCCAGTTTAAAATGATATTCTTTTAAAGTCCAAAGTGTTTTAAATAGCCGAACTTTTTTAGAAACCAAGTGTCACTTGATTAGTACTTGCTGCCTCGCTAAGTGGTTTTTGCTAATCAAGGTTCTCGAACTGATTTTGTTAAATAACCGTAGTTTTACTGCAAAGTTGTTATGGTGATGTTCTCCAAAGATCTTAATGCGCTATTCTTAGTAGTAACTTAAGGGTTGGTCTTTGGGTTGCTAAGGGTAGTAGGGTTTAGAGTTACGGTTGGTCCTAACATGAGCTAATATGAATGGGAGAATAGGGAAGAACCGTTGGTGGACCTCTTCTTCAGCCTAACCCTGAGTTTAATTAACAGTTTAATTTCAGAAGCAAGGCATAATTAATTGATTGATCAGATTTGGCAAGTTTATTTTCTATTAAAAACTATAAGTATTTTCAAAATGGTTTAAGTTAATTATTATTGTCTACGTTTTTATAAAGTTTATTGTGTGATTGTTTTTTGTGTGTTTCTTTCTCCCCGAGTGTTCTTCTGAGTTCGAGTTGCTGATGTAGTTCCATCTCTTATCTGTTATTTTTATTTAATTTGCATTTTTATCATTTAATTTTATCTTTCAAACCTCCCCATATCCTTTAGTTTTAGTTTTTTAGATTTTAGTTAGTTTTTATTCAATAAAAGTGACAAGTGAACTGATTTTCATAGTCTAAAAAGTATCTTTCTTCGTGGGATCGACCCTTACTTGCCCTATCTATATGTTTTAATGAATACAAGTTCATAAAGGGGGATTGAAGTTAAGGAAAATAATAAATTAATTTGTAGGTGCTACGACACGCCTAACAAGGAGCCATTAAACCCATCAGGTCCAGGAGCACTGTTGGGGTTCAAACTCCATACAGCTTCTTTGATTTCCTCTTCGTTTGGTACCTTGCTGATATTGATATTGTCCTGGTGGCTGATAGGTTTGTCCAAGTAATGTAGAACAGGCTCCATATCTACATCTTTGGAGTTGTTGTAGAGCTTGGAGTAGTAGTCTATAGCCATTTGTTTAATAATTGCCATATCTTTGTGTTCTTTCCCCTTCTCATCCATTATGCTTCTGATTTGATGATTAGATCTTCTGGCTTTGACATAGGAGTGAAAGAATTTGGAACAGCAGTCCCCCTCTTCCATCCATTTCAGGTTAGCTTTCTGTTTCCAAAAGCTTAGATCATTCTCTGTAGCCCTTATCAACTGAGCCTTTGCCTTATTATCCAATTCCCTATTTTCTGGTGTTGGGTCCTTCTCAAATTGTTCCTGAGCCTTAATTGCTGTTTCCTCGGCTTCCTTTAGTTTATTAACCACATTACCAAAAGTCTTTATGTTCCACTCTTTGATGTGTCTCTTTAGCCCATGCAATTTGAATGCTAGACCATCCATACCCCCATGATGACTGCTACTATCCCAGTGATCAGAGACCATCTTGAGGAAAGAGTGGTGATTTAACCATGCATTCAAGAACCTAAAAGGTT